CGGAAAGCAAACACGACCGGGCCGGTTTATTGCCGCGCCTGACGTGTGTTCCGATTTATTTGCTTGCAGGCGGCCTCTGCGCTGTCGGGTGTGCCATCCCGGGGCGCCCTGCCGTCCCGTTCTGGGCCAGGCCGGTCCTCGTGCAGTGATTACCACTCGGCAGTCGAGTCCGCACGCGGCGACCGACCAACTTTCCCGGCCACTGATGAAGTTATCAGCTGGAGAGTAGATTGGACGGTGCCGGTTCGGGGCGGGAGGAGGGGTGTATGATAGTACCGCTGTCTGTGGCGGTGACTAGCGCAGAAGTTCACTGGTTACGTGACCTTTCGGCGTCTGCTCGGAGCGGTTCTGCCGCCACCATGTCCCATGGTGTCGCCTTTGAATGGAAGTGGACAAACTTTGAACGTTTAAATCTATGCCTGCTGGTGAATGTATCAGCCAACTTAATGCATGGTTTTGATTCAGAACCGGAACTTACAGTAATGAACACAGAAAGTTGTAACATGAAGCGTAAAGCGACACAAAGGCTTAACCAACACGTGTGATCCTCGCGTGTGCACTTGCAAAGTCCGACTTGAACGTGTGTGTTTGGACCGCACTTGCTATGTAAGCATTTTTCCAGTGGCGGTTCGCCCATTAAGGCAACTAAGGCAGTGCCTAACCAGAATTTTCGGGGTTAGATTTCTGCTTTTTTGTTTTGTTTTTTAAATTAAAAATATTTTTTTCCCAATGATTTTAGTGGTTTGATAACATATAGTTACCCTACTAACCCCAAGACTCAACTCATGCACGTATTATTCGCTATAATTTTAATGCAGCCTAGTGTGCAATAATTTAGCTGCCTCATGTCCAGATTCCTGCATTCAATTTACATGGGCTGGCAACTCCAGAAATGTTGGGCTATCAGGCACGCCTAACCTGCCTTTCTTGGCGATAATCATTAAGAAAGGACAATATTCGAACAAGACCTGCCAAGAAATTTGGCTAGTTCTTGGCGGTTAAGGCTGGCATCGTCTCGTTTCTGAGCGTTTTGTTGTGCGATCTGTTTATGCCACGTGATAGTTGGTGGGATTGCTATGTTATTTTACTTGTGGTTGTTCCTGTCCTAGCATGTTCGTTTCATGTTGGTTTCAACATTTAAATAGATACTTTTAAATGAAAGGAAGACATGTCTGGCCCAAGCATCGTTGATGAGCTGCTAAGGAATAGTTTTGCTAGTAGAAGCTATGTTGAGAAGGTGAAAATTGTTCAGGATGGGCGGCCGAAACCAGATCTTAAGTGGGAAGCTCAGGTAAGTGGAGTGGTCAAGACACCAGTGTATTCATTTACCATACCTTCCCTTGACTGTGGCTGATCTATTGAACAAAGAAAAAGGCATACAATGCAAATTAAAAACACAATGGCATCACAAAAATAGCAATGCGGAATCACAGGTGGATCTAGGTGGATCCTAGTGGTCCATTGGGGTCATGGCCCTCCTCCCAAAGGTTTTAGTTTTATAGTGAGGGCATCATATTTTGTATACTTCAAATTTGTATTAAACTGCATTGACAGACGAGGCATACATATTCATTTGACATTTCAGTTTCACCTCTTGTTGTGTTGTTTAATTTTGATTTAAATTGTTGTGCTGAATTGCTGCATTGCCTGTTTTAATAGTGTATTTTGATGAATGTACTTGAACAGTGGCGGCGGAAGATAATTTTGGTTTGCTATATGAAAATGTACTTCCTGTTGTTGTTTTTAATATGAGTTGGAACTGGGCTTTGAATTATGGGCAATGACCTTATTTAAAGTTTGACACTTGATGCACTTAAAAAGACACCTGGGAAAGGTCTTTCCTTTGAATGCAGATGGTGGTGGTAGTGGTGGTGCTGAAGCATGAGATGTGGTGGTGGTGGTAGTGGTGCTGGTGATGGTGGTGGTGATGGGCATGATGGTAGTGGTGGTATGATTGTGGTTGTGCATGATTTTTCCCATTTGAAGCTGGAAGTGAAGATCTGCCTTGCCTAAAAAGGCGTTCTACCCCTTCCTTGTTGTATGCAGTATGGGAAAACCAAGCGGAGATTCAACCCGGAGTTCTACGAGATGCGCGAGTGGCTGACGGCACCGGGAGAGGGAGCGCCACGCCTGCTCTGCTGGCCAAATTAGAGGCAAATTAAGCTTGGTGATAACTCCTTGGGGTACCTCGACTCCCACCTGGCCATGACAGAGTGCCTAACCGGTAACGAGGGGCTGGCGCCGCCACTGCATTTTTCTGTCTTATAGGCATCGTAACGTAGTAATATGCGTAACTGCTCACCTGTTCGCTATCCCATGTTTTCCAAACAACCACCTCATTGGCAAAATCGTTTGCATGACAGTATCATTCACACGAATTTAAGTTATTTGCTTGTAGAGTGTAGATACATGCAGTTCCAGTCCTAATAAGCTTCTCCTTCGAGAAAAACATCAAATTTGACTTGCAAATTATTGCACCAGTGTTTCCGCAGCACAACTTATCAGTTGCCGTGTTCCAGCATACTGGATCATGTTATCCGTACCGCGCTCACCACTGTATTATACTCTCGCCTCCCTCCCTCGCCTTGCAACCCACCCCGGTCCGTCCTACCCCAGTATCAGGCAGCTGCTGCGGCCGGCGGTTCCGGGGCCGGGCGGCGCACCAGATGCGTCTTCCGGCCACACAGACGGCCAGATGAAAGGTGTCCGAGCTCGTTGGCGGTGAGCCGAGCGGCTCGTCACCGGCACCGATTGCGAATCGCTCCCCGGAGTCGCCGGCCGCCCGGCCGCAGTTATTGGACGGGCGGCGGCGCAGTATCACTGTGAACGGCAGGCGGCCGGACCGTGCGGCGCAGTATCACCGAGAGTGGCAGGCGGCGGCTGTCGGCCGGCCGGCCTGTATTACCTACCGTGCAGCGGTCGTCGGAAGCATTGCCATTTACCCGACCGGCCGGCTGCAACTGACGGGTCACGAATATTGGATCGGGCATGATCTGGGTAGTCCACAGCTCTAAGACAGCACCTTACTGCTGTAGTGAAAAGTTGGCCTAAATGTCTGTAGATTAAAAGTAATTACCGATGCGATGCGACGAACTCAGTGACGGCAGTCGATGAATTACTGTACATACTGCGTAGTGCGTATTTTATTTATGGATGCATAACGCATGGATTATACACAAAATAGTGTCGAGCTCTGTTCAATCGTTCATTTCTATGGTAAATAAAAAGGCAAATTATCGAATACCTTCTAAAAGTCGGATCACATGAGGATTCGTTCAACCCTAATACTTTATCATCACATGCATTCCGTAGCTGAATCTTTGCTGTATTTCAAATGTTTTACGTCTGCGGACTCGGGTAAGGCTTCGCTCTTGAAACGTACATTTTCGTAATTCCTACACAGCTCTGCCTTCAGTATCTAAATTCTAAGATTATTTTGATGTTTCATTATTTACCGTCATATTTAGGTATGGATTTTGGCGCATCCTGATGCTTTCCATAGAATATTGCAACAAAACATTACAGGAGTTTCAGGAATGTAGGATAAGATGCTGGAAGAATGGGTCCCGCAGCCGTTCGGTGGCCTCTCTCAGTCTGTTTGTATAACGGCTGCTGTCAGTCTGAGATTCTCGTGGGTGGAGTGAGGTGACAGTAATTAAACGGTCTAAAAACCACCGCTGGGAGCCGCGCCGTCCCACTGGTAAACAGAGGGGCGACGAGAGCCGCTGCTGCTGCGGGGCAGAGAACCGGGAATAGCGGCACAGCCCCCTCCTCCCGCCGCCCCCCTCTGACCACTCAGCTGTTAGAGAGGGATAGAGCCGCTGCTGCTGCGAGGCAGAGGACCGGGTATAGCGGCACGGCGGCCATCCCCCTCTGCCCCCCGTAACCTCCCCTCGAACCCAGCTGTGGGGAGAAGTCTCAGTGGCACAGGGAAAAACTGGGGAACGAGAGGCGGTAGGTCTGTCCGACCTATTTTAAATTGTTCCTAATTGAATTATATTGCTGGCTACCTTTCTCATTTATTTATGCATACATTTTGTCACTTATGTATTGCATGCAGCTCTCCATCAATGCAGTTTTAATTGATAAGCTTTTGACTGTGGATTATTTAATTTCGAATGGGGTTTCCCTGGATAATTGTTAAATTGCAATACCAAGTGAATATGATATTTGTTTGACAAATTTTCGAGCGACAGTTTATCATCCCTTGAAAAGTCGTATAGTTTGGCCAATAAGCTTTTGATGATATTTCGTAACAAAAAAAACTTTGTTGTATTAAGCCTGAAACAGACTCTTTCCGCGTTCAGGAAATCGCATGCGAGAGCCTATTCAAATGCGCTATAATTCTTCCCGCATCAATCGCATCCGGGAGGTGCGTGCGATTGATGCGAGCGTGCTTCCATGTATTTGAATAGTCTCTCGCATGCGATTTCCTGACTGCGGAAAGAGTCTGTTTCAGGCTTAATACACCTTTGTTTCATTGCTTTACGATATCATTTAACCGGAGTACCTTCTGTTTTTTTTTTGTCGATACATCGAAATCGGTCGACGAAATAACCAAGCTCTGAAAGTCTTTCGAAGAACTTATTGTGGAATCCAGCTAAATCGCTTTTATTGCCCTTCTTCAGTGGCTATAAACTAAATCGGCGAGGCATTGGTGCCAAAGTAATGCAATCTTTAGAAGAGCTTCAGCCATCCCGAGATCATTTAAGAAATGGGATTAGAGCAAACGCAAAAAAAAAAAAACATCGGCTGGCAGCTATGTCCATAAATATAATAAATAAGATCGTTGGTAAAACTCGCACAATAACAAGTGTGAGAGTCATGATGCAATTTTAAATACATTAAAATGGTACAACTCACTGAAAGGGGCGCATTATATGAAAAGAAACGGACTGATCAGCATCTACTTTGCCTTAAATGCAAGAAGGAACGGTTCTAAGACCATGCCGTGCCATACCAAAATACTTTAAATTAACGACATGCATTTTTTCTTTCAGCCGCACCCGTCACCCAGTCCGTCAGATGGCCTGGACTCCACAACCGACCAGGTAAGTCCGCTCGGCACAACCGTGCCTGTATCTCGAGTGGCTCGTACCCACCAACAGCAAATACAATGCCTACCTACCCAGTACCCAGTGCTCACCGCCTCCGACCGCTGCCATATGGCGCCGCCGCCTATCTGGGCCGACCGCTTCCTGGCGGTTGAACAATCACGGCATTAGCTGGCCCAGATACTTATGGGGATTGGATGGGCGCGCGATACGGCTGCGGGAAATTCACTGCCTGTCCCCTAGATTCCATTTGAACAAACGATGCCGGCACGGCCGCCGGCGCCGGCGGGGCCGCAGCGGCCTGCAGCGTTTGCCGTCCGGTTAACGTAATACAGGGCGGTAAAGGACCGATGTCAATGCATGGCACGTGATGAACCCGAGCGTGCAATATTGCAGACTGGTTGTTCCAGCAATACGCTGCACGTGCAGTGGATGGATTGATTTTGCGCTATGGATCAGTATGCTCCACTTGTGTCCTGCAACATTGGGTTTGCAATCAAACCGAGCTGACGATCTTTCAGCTATCAAATAAAGATGATACGTGCTCGAATTATTAGCTTGAATCACATTTCTATGTGATTGTAGTTTTTTTTCAGCGATGGGAGGAGATGCGTTTTGTTCATAGGGTAGATTGATGAAGCAATGTCCCAGGTCACTGATGAGGTTAGATGCCATCCAATGTTTGAAATAGCTGGGTAATACAGGTATGATTTGCGCTGTTCTGATAGTGAGTAGGATGCAGTATTGCTTGTCCCCCTGACCCCGGTGGCCTGCCATCGACCCGGCTCCACCGGAATAGTGTGCAAATGGCCTCCGGGGGCAGCCCCGGGACTGGCGCATAGCTCATCCAGATTGCTCCATGAAGCCGACTGCACTTTGGGACGGCCTCCAGTATTTCTGCGAAGCTGTCGTCAGCTTTCTGACAGCGCCATCCCAGTGGTGTCGTCGCCAAACAGTTTGCAGATTTCGGCGCTCGCCATCCAGTCGACCCCATCTGTCTTAGGGGACGGTTCAGAATAACTGGATGTCAGCCCAGGGGACAGACAGAGCCGGGATAGTGTGATGGGCAGAAGTGCTGAGCTCTGCCTTCCTCGGACGTCACTGGATTTACTGACGGATTTATTCATATACCACTGGCACAAGATACTTAATTGGGAGCCTTGCTGGACTCTGACTTTGGGTCAAACCGTTTTTAGCTAAGTGTGCGTTAGAGTTATGGGCGCTGCAATTTCATCTCCTACTGGAGTGCCATTATCCGAACATTATTGCTGCCGGCTTCGGCGAGATGCCTATAACGCCGCGGGGTACTCGGAATTCCAATGTATCGACCCGTGTCGCCAACACGGCCCGTGCATCAGGCCGTCAGTAATTGATGGCTCGCCGGCTCACTGTTTGGCAGCCGGAGACGCCGCGGGCCGGGGTGCCTGGTGCGTCACCCGAGTCGGGAACCGGGTCGCCCGAACGCTCCGCGGGGAGCTGAGTGCTCGGCCGGCAGCCTCTTTAGCGGCTCAGGAAGTTCTAAGCCGGGTGGAGCGGCCGGTTTCATGCAGATCGCGCTAGGAGAATGAGCTTTTGGCTTTTGAAACACTGGATAGCGAGCGAACTAGGATGGCTCTTCAAACTAGCGAACTTTTAGATAGCGCTGCCAGCGCTTTAACTGATATCCGATTTGGACGCGTCTTTCCGCGAAGTTTGTATTGCCCATGCATACGTTACATCTTGTTTGGCAAGCTCTGGTATGAAGACACCAAATGTGACGGCACTCCTCCGTGTCTACGACCGGATACACGATCCATTTGTAACTGCACCTTAATGGCCGGGTGCCACCGTCGCCAGCCCACGCATTACTCCGGTTTTCGACCTCCTCCCCCCCCCCCTCCGACAGCCCCTCGTGGTTATTTCGACTAGTCGCGGGTCGGTGCAGCATTAATCTACCGGCACTGGCAACTTCCATCAGTGCTGCAACGAGGTCTTAGGGCTCGTGGCGAAAGAGCGGAGGGAAGAATGAATGAAAGAACGGATGGATGAATAAGCGGACGGACGGAAGGACGGACGGACAGATGAACGGACCGACCCATCGACGGACGGGCGGACCAACGGACGGACGGACGGACGGACCGACGGACTAACGGACGACGGGCGGACGAGACGGACGGACGGACGGACGGACGGACGGACGGACAGACGGACGGACGGACGGACGGACGGACGGACGGACGGACGGACGGACGGACGGACGGACGGACGGACGGACCAACGGACGACGCAAGGACGGACGCATGGACGGACCGATGGGCCAACGAGGGTCGGGCACATGGGCGCTCGGGCGGCGGACGGGCGGAAAGACGAGAAGAGGCGGGGCCGGCGGCCGCTGTTAATCACCCGTGTCGTCCCGCTAATGCCCGTCGGCCCGCCGCCGCCGCGCACACAGCATCGTTTGTAACCGAACGTCGTTAGTCGCGTCGCGAACGACGCTCGACGGATGCCGCCGCACGCGTCGCCCCTCGGCCTCCGGGTCGGGTTCGCGTCGGAATCGGCTGAGGTCGGAGGATGTCTTCATCGGTCGAGGGACGATGAGGATGGCACAATTGTACAGCATTGTATTTGCCGCTCGTTCTGTTGTGCTTACATATACATAGGCTTCTTTTCACACAACGATCAACCAGTCGGTGGTGTAGCTTTGGTCGGCCCGCATTTAATATGGTCATCTTATCATTCTTATTGGCCAAGCTATTACACGCATTGGTGACCATCTCTGACCACATCACAGACACTATATTTCACCAATGGCCTTGGTATCTTTCATCGCCTGCTGGCCTTTCTCGCCGCCTGCTGGCCTTTCTCGCCGTCTGTTCGTCTTCTCTCGCCGCTTGCCGCGCCGGTCGACACCGGAAGCACTCGATTTCCGCCGGAAATGATGCACGACCTCAGCCGGGACTGATTGCGTAGAGACGCGCGCGCTGTGTGTATTTTCGCGGATAATGCGTCGCCTCTCAGCCTTTGCCGAAATATTTGTGGAGTGCCAGCGGTGCTGGACATCGCCGTTATGTACGTTAACCCGCGCCCCGCTGGGGGGGGGGGGCAGAATCTGCCCCCCTCCCGTTTTTCGCCAATAACTTCTAAACGCGTTACGCCAGCGACGTCAAACTTTCAGTACCTTATCATACATCAATTTGACGCGTTCCCTGAAAATGTGAGCGAAATCCGTCGGAAAATTTTGAGGAATTGACGTTTTAGTGACGTCATGTTCGCCATTTTCGCCTAAAAAACGGCAAAATTTCAAACGCCGCTAACATCTTCATTTTTAAAGGAATCAAGACGTGACAAAACAGGTTATACGTGATTCTACTTTGTCTATCAAATGGCCATCTCGGTTTTTTAAAAAATTTGGATTTTGGCCCAAATTTTTTTCAAAAAACTGACTTTTTTTTGGGAAAATAATTATAAAATCCAAAATTTTGAGTGTATCGAAAAAACCGGAATACATGTCAGAGAAGTGGTCTGTGTGCACCTACATACCAATTTTTAGAAGAATCAGTTCAAACATGTGGGAGTTATTCAAAATTTTATGACGTCACGACACACAAATTTTTTGAAAAATGATTTTTTTTGGAAGTTCTAGATCTCGTACGGAAACAAAAATAGCACCATTCGATTCGCCGTGAAAACTGCATCATATAGACACCTTTTTAGGCCTTAACAACCAGCTTCAAAATTTGACCTCACTTGACCTGACCTTGACCTGACCTCGACTCGACCTGAAATTCATCCAGAGGTGGTCCATATCACTTATTGAGTGTGCCCATTGAATTCTATGAGTAAAATGACCCATAAAACATGTGTCGCACATGCCCTTTTCCATATTTTGTTTTTGGTGACCTGACCTGACCTGACCTGACCTTGACCTTGACCTTTGAATGACATTGTATGCAACGAATATTGTCTTGGTAGTCTAAGAACACGTTTTGGGCAATCAGTCTCAGTCCATTCTTCGGCAACCACGGTGCAAGGCCGATACTGTAGAAACTTGCATTTTATACCCTTGACCTGACCTTGACCTGACCTCTGACCTACTTAAGCAAAAAACTTTGGGCTCATAAGATCCGCCTTGTTGAGAGCTTTCGATTGCCGTTTTCCCCGTCTTTCTACGACCATCGGTTCGGAAGTTAGACATGGGGGCAGTATCTGCCCCCCCCCCCCCCCAGCAGGGCGCGTATGGCTGAATAGCCCAGCGGGGCGCGAGTTAATATCAGCATTTAGGTGCAATATTAGGATGTCGTGTGCGCAACGTATTTTCACTCTTCAATCTCTTGTTTCTCTTTCTCCCTCTCTCCTCTCAACTTGGTCATGGCTGGCCGCAGCCAGCCAGGCTCGCAGGAGCTTGGCCCAGCCCATTGCCCCCCCCCCCCCACCACACACACCCAGTAAGGCCGAGGCTTCGCTCTGGGGGACTATGCACTATCGCTAGTCTGCACCTCCCACTCACTACCTATCCACCATCCAGTGTCCCTATACCGTGGCGGAGTCCCCACCTCACTGGCGCTGAGGGCCTTCGACGCTCGCAGCTACAGAAGCGACCCTCGCTAGATCTCGTCGGTTTTCCTTACCTGCAGTTCCGTACCTTGTCGCTAGATGGCTTTACTGGTGGCTGCTTGGCTGTAGTGGGCTCCAGGCTGCTGTGATCTTCCCGTTGCGGAGAAAATGAGATACGAAGCCGGATGTCAGGATGGGCAGGATGTTTTTGGTCGCCGATATTGACGCCCGTATTGTGCGCGGGGAGTCGAATTGAAATTGGAATGAATGGCTATCTTACGACAGTAGCGCCTTGAAGCCGAATTGGGAGAAAGGCTGGAAAACAGTTTCTGATCCGAGTCCATTATGCAGAAAGTGTTTTGTATGCCATACGAAATGGAGCCAGCTTCAGAACGCCCTGTTTGCCGACTTCGGCTGGGGCGTTAGCTTAGTCTTTACGACGGATGAAAGGAATACGAGTGGCC